CACTCAGAAATAGCCCCGAGCCCCTCAACAAGAGGGAGAATGTACAGACTATGGCGATTCCTGCAAGGGTCACGACATCCCAGAGAAAATTCATGGGCGAACTCCAGGAACAAACAGGGTTTGTTTGAGTGACAGAAGGGCAGCACAGGAACATAACACACTTCAACTCTGACTTGTGCCACTCCATGTTGTGAAATGTACACAGACCATCCCTTTCAAAGAAGAGCAAGAAAATAATTAAACAAGAGTCAAAGTGTTATCTTCATGGGGATAGAGAGTGAGGAAGGAGGTATAAACGGAAAGAGGAAAGGGGATTTTTTTTAAGGTACAGTAAATGCTTCATTCCGAATCTAGGAGTGAGCACAGGACATATTCAACTTCGTTTTTCATATGCTCATGTGTATGATGTACTTAGGAATTACATGAAGACAGCAGACATTAAGAATAGAGGAACTGAGTTCAAGACGCTAAACATTTTTCTCAAGTTAATAGATGACAAAGAGATCAAATGTACTGGACTGGGTTTCCTCAAGCACCTGGCAGTCATTCTCGGTTCTAGAGGAATCTCCCACCATGACGGGTTTCCGGGTTAAGGCATTAGTAGGTGATGGCTGGGAGTCCTCCTTTCACGGTTGAAACCACAGGGTCTAGAGTGGCACCTGTTCCGCGCACAGTAGGTGTTTACCAACCAAGCAGCTGTCTGCACATGCTTTTGGAGGTCTGACGTCATCTCTAATCTTCACACTCGACTCTACAAGGGAGTTACTATAATCCTAGTTTATAGATAAGGAGACTGAGATTCACAGAGATTAAGAAATTTGCCCAAGGTCACAGGCTAGAGCGTAACAAAGCCAGGATCTGAACTCAAAGGTGTCTGACTGAGTTTCTTCCGCACCACCAGGCTCTGAAGACGACTCCTTTTAGCACTACCTGAAGTTTCACTTCTAAACCAAGGAACCCTCTGCCTCTGGGCTCTGGCACTTCGAGGGCTTGTACGGCAGGGCTGGCCACAGCTGGCCCAGCAGAGCGCAGTTACTGGCTGACTCTGCAGCCATGGGCAGGTTACTGCAGCTCTTTAAATCTTGGGTTTCCCCACATACACGCAGGGGATCAACTTGGTAGCTTCCAAGAGAGGTTGCAGTTCAAGGCGATCAGTCAGATTATCAGCACTGAAGTCTAGAGTCCATTTCTCCTTCCAACTGCCCTAGACTTGGGTGTGTTCCTTAAGATTAGGCAGGAATGGAAAAGGTAAAGACGGGAATCCTTTAGAGTTGACCCGTGGGGCTACGGCCTTTTTTCTCTGGGTACATTTAGCAATGAATCATTTAATTAACAAAAGGGCATGTTTCAAATTGAAAGTGCTTCTTTTTTGTTTTTGCCTATCAGACCACTCAAGTCTCATTTGATCCCATTCCATCTTGAATTCTTGTCTACATGATTGAGGTGTCAAGACGTTCAGAGAGGCACTGAGTTCTGAAGGTAGAGGGAGTCTCTGGCCGGAGGCAACTGCCCTTGGAGAAACCTTTGGGCAAACCCAACTTTCTCCCAGGTCAGCTTGTCCAATGCAGACTCTGTTGCTGGCCTGTTCTGTGCAAGGCAAGGCAAGGCCCTGGGGCTGCCTTTGACCGCAGACCTGGCAGGGCTTCACGGAGGCCCGACCCAAGTGTGTGTCTGCGTCCCCAACCCCACTGGGGCTGAGTTTCCCATTTGTTCAAGGACCCTAACAATGGTCCCCATGTCGCAAGGTCGCAGCAGATCTGCCAGGCCATGTGGCACTTGGAACGAGTGAGCTGAGCTCAGCAAGGAGCTGTTCCTGGAGCGACAAGAACATTGCCAGCAGGCGGCACATATTGGATGTGTCACCAACAAAACCTGGGGCCGGGTGGGTGCCCCACAGTGCCTGGGTGTTGCCTTTGTACCTCAGCGCTTTGACCTGTCTGCAGAGGCCAGTGAGAGGCAGCAGCTTCCCAGGAACTGGCTGCCGTGTCCTGCCCAAACTCTCCTTTCCCGCTGCAACAGCTGCCCACGCCCTGCCCTGCCCGGGACGAGCGCGCTCCCCTGTGCAGAATAGGGACTTTGTGTGGCATTTCATTCTGGGAACACTGATCGGTCTATTCCTCGGCTTGGGACCTGCAGGGCAGGTTTGTAAAGGCATGACACATTCTCGGTCTCCTTGAGCATGACTGCTTCAGCCTCTCGCCCCAGTCACTGATCCAGCAGACACTCTCTGCTTCCCTACCCAGGGGTCTTGCCCCTCTGTGGCATCACCACACACTTCAGGGGGAGGTGCTTCCCGAGAAGTCCTCACCCAGCCCCTTTAACTATCAGAGAAGACAGAGTCGCTCAGTCACTGGGGAGACTCCACTCCCCCACATCTCAATCATGCACGAGTCAGACCTCTGGGGACTCTCCACAGAGCCTGCCCAGAACAGTACCACAACCGCGAAGACCAGGACTCAGAAGGGAGGGCAGTTTCTCTTCCACATGTCACCATGGCAGGACACAGTCACTGCCACCAACGCCTTATCGCTTGGATTAAGCAAGAATCAGTCCCCACCCCAGACAATTTCACCATTTCACCAACAGTCAGCCCAGGCTGGAGAGGCAAACGCCAGGGTCTAAGGGCACTGCTCCATCTTCTGTGCTGGCTCTTGCTTCCATTCTGCGATCATTTCCCTGGAACCTGATTACAAGTGACCTGTGCCCTTCACCCACCTGAGGAACAGCCAGCCTTCCCTTCTGGCTCAGTTCCTTGCTTTGTTGCTTTGGTCTTGGACTTTTCTTTTCTTTTTTTTTTTTTAGGAGATAGAGGGGACCTCAGAGGAGATCTGGGAAATGGGAAGAACTGGATGAAGAAGCTGCAGTTGTGGGGGAAGAGGGAAGAGGAAGCATGAGACCGAGTCTTGGCTCCATTTTAAATCCCAGTTCCCCCAGGGGCAGCTGAAGGGGAGTTGGCAGGCCTTCCTGTCCCTGTCTGAAGTGGCTGAGGCAGGAAAACCAAAGTTAAGGCCAGCCACCAGTCAAGGGTAAAGAGAAGTCACAGGGGCGGTGGACTGGGTCCTTGGAAAGGGTGACCAAGAGCACTGGAAGCCTGGAGTTGGCTGATAATGTCAGGGAGCACACTGGGGTGCTACACTGCACTCAATACTAAGCTGACCCCATTTAAGCACCACACCCATCTTCTTCTCATCATTAAGCCCCTGGACCCACTCTCCACTCACCCCCATAATCCATTTTTCTTTGTGTTTGGAGTCGCATCCACTGGGATGACTACATGTACCATTTGGCCCCAGACGATGTGGTTACTGTCTGGACTAAACAATTAAGAGCACCCCCTTTTACTCTCAAAAGTGCCCCAGTTTGAGGCCAATAAACAGTGTGATCATTATGTTACCTGGGAACGAGGACAGGGCTAGGGGAATCCGACGGAAGGTCTCGCTAGAAGGAGGCCCCGCAGGTCCCTCTCAGATGGCCAGAAGTGGAAGGAGGGCCCAGTCCTGCTGCCTGTGTTGGGGCTCAGACCATATCAGGGCAAGAGTCCTCACCTGGGGGGGTTTTCATTTCATTGTCTACACCCCCAAGCCCCGAGGACCATATGGACACACCAAAGACTCTTAATCAAGTTTTGCAATGTCCTCACTTCCCACCACCTGCATCCAAAACAGACTCACAGCAGCAACATATGGAAAACTGGAATCCTTAGGATGCTTTTTACCTGACAGCCAATGTCGTCCTAGCTGAGACTCCCAGGTGCTCCTGACTCCAGCTCCACTGGACAGGAGCTTTCTGGTGGAGGTCCAAGTGGCAGAGCTTGTTAGGATGATCACTGCCTCTTTTGGATTTGGGGTAACAAACTCCTTAGAAATTTCCTCTCCTGGGGCTGGAGTGATAGCACAGCGGGTAGGGTGTTTGCCTTGCACGCGGACAACCTGGGTTCGATTCCCAGCATCCTATATGGTCCCCTGAGTACTGTCAGGAGTAATTCCCGAGTGCATGAACCAGGAGTAACCCCTGTGCGTCACTGGGTGTGACCCAAAAAGAAAAAAAAAAGAAATTTCCTCTCAAGCTCCCCGTGATGTATTTGATATGCCAGACACAGTAACAACAGAGTCTCCAGTGGAGACGTTACTGGGCCCGCTCGAGCAAATCGAGGAACAACGGGAGGGCCTTTACCTTTACCTTTATCTCTCCTATCTGGGGTAACCTCTTGGTCTGGCTCACTGTCCCCTTGTTTCCTCTCAGGTTTGAAAGATGCTGCTTTTTAGTCAGTGACTGTTGAGAAAGCACAGGCTGGGGTTCTAGGAGATCCTTTTATTGCTTCTTCTGGGACATGATTATATATGCCAATTGGCCCCAGTTGGTCCCAACAGGACAGTTTTGAGACCAACAAGGGGAAGAAGTCTGAAAAGCTGTAAATGTAAAGAATAAGGGCACCTCAGACAGCACCAGTTCTTCCATAATATTTACATAAATCAAGTGAGATGGGTTTTGCTGAATTGCTAGGAGGGGTTCAGAAAGCATCCTAACACTCTTTCTCCCTCTCTTTTTGGATCCTTTATCCAGAAAAGTGTCCAGGCCTGAACCACAGGCCCCAGCTCGACCACAGACCACACTTTCGGCAGTTTGAGTCAGTTCTACAGCCCGGGCAGGATTCTTCTCAAATGGGTTCAGAGGCATCTGAACAGTCCCGGGCTTCTAATTTCTCCTCACATATTTGAAGAAACATAAGAAAAATCAGACAGAACTTTGCAGTCCTAGTGCCTCCTGGCTTGACTTCCCACCAGTCCTGACACCAGTTTACAAGAATCCTGGATCCCCTCTCGCACCTGGAGAGGGAGGGGATGAGAACGGCCCCCCAACACACAACAGCCCCATTCAGAGAGCCAAGGCTTCAATCCACGTTCATCCCAGCACTTAGCCCCCTCCCGGGCAGTGTTCGAGCCTCCCCAACATCCCTGGGCTTCCCAAGGCCCAGAACCTGCCTGGTTTCTTTTACACACCCACCTCGCTGACACAGACGGGCTGCCCACAGGGTCACCAGGCCGCAGCGGAATGAGGGACCGGAGAAGTCTGGCGTGCCGGGACGGCTCTCCTTGTCCTAGGAGAAGGATAAGCGGGGGATTTGCCACAAAGTCACACTCCCCGCACACGCAGCCGCTCCGGGAAGCGTGTCAACTGCTCCGCCGAGCACTGCCACCCTTGCCTTCTGCAGGACCGCCTCTGTCGGGCAGCAGGACGAGGACAGCCTTCCGCGGGGAGCTGGAGGGGAGCTGAACTCTGCCCAGCGAGCTGCTGCAAGGCTCAGAAAAATGCCAGCCCAACTGCCTGCCTGCCTGCGCGCGCGGGCCCCTCTGGCTGCGACCGAGCCCAGACAGAGGCTGACTCACTCACCACGCGGAGGAGGAGGAAGAGGAGCTGGGGAAGGAGGGGGAGGAGATGCGGGAAGGCTTGTGTCCACAGCCCGAGACTCTCCCCGAGAGGGCACCCTGGGCCGGCCTCAAGTGGGGCCACCAGGTGGGGGTGGGGCAGTGGCCACGGCTCCCTGGAGACCACGTGCAGCTTCTCGGCAGATGCTTGCCCGGGGGGGGGGGGGGGAGGCCCTCCTTCCCCGACAAAAATGATTCCCTGAGCCCCCGACTCAACCAGATGCTTGCCCCTGACTTCCTCTGGACATCAACAGGCTGGTCTCCCGAAAAGATAAATGCAGATCACGGGGTGGGGGCGGGGGAGGGAGGTGCGGGTCCCGGGTCTTAAAATCAATGGTTTGTTTTGCTTTGGAAGTAAAAGAAAGTGGAGAAAAGAAGAAAGCCCTTTCGTTAAGAGGTCCGGCTCCAGGCGGCAGACGCAGCAGGGTCGGCGGGCAGATGCGCAGGTGTGCGCCCACTCGCAGGTGCGCGAGCCCCCCGACGCCGCACGCAGCAAACACGCTCCGGGGGCCAAAAGGCTGCGCGAGATGCTGAGTCCGGCGCCAGGTCCTGAGCGCGGCGGGCTCCTCGGCGGCTGCGGCGGCCCCTCCCCGTCCCGGCACCCACTTCCAGCCCTTTGGCACACCTGGTGCCCACCTGGACAGCCGCCCGGACCTCAGCCGCCAAGCGCGTCCCTAGAGACCTACACTCCAGCGGTCCCACGCGGGTCCGCGGGCCCAACGCCCCCGAGGCCCCCAGCCCGGGCTTCCTCCCGACCCCGGAGCCCCCGGCCCGCCGCTCTGGAGTCCGCACCTGGTCTGGAGGTGGGCACGCTGCTCCGCGCTCCAGGCGCCCGGGGCTCGGCGGCCGCCTTTTGACAAGCGGGGAACCGCCCAGCACCTGGCCCCGCCCAGGCCCCGCCCCGCCCGGCCCGCCCGGCCCCGCCCAGACCACGCCCCTCCCAGCCAGGCCCCGCCCCCGCCCCGCCCCCGGGCCTCGCCGCTCGGCCCCGCCGCGCCAAGCGGCTTCGCTCTCGGCTCGGAACCCACGGCCGCCCGGTCGCCCGCGGGACGCTGCGGGTCCGAGGGGCCCGACGCGTTCCTCCTGGCGTGCGGGAGCGCTTCCGGAGGTCGCTTTTGTGCAGGTCCACAGTTCCGATTCTCTGGCCGGACCCCCCTCGCCCCCCCCCACACACTCGCTGCAGCCGTGGGTCACCCCTAGCTGGGCCCACCCGCCTCCGCCCTCTCCCCGGCTGGGCTCGAGAGTGCGTCTGGGAGGGCAAGAAGCCCCGGGGAAGCTAGCTGGCCATCGTGCTGACCCTGCAGAGAGCCAAGAACGGGTCGCAGGCTCGGCGAACGAGAGCCAGACCCCAGGGGAGCCCCCCCACCTCAAACGTTCATCTCAGTGTCCCCTGGTGCCGGGTGCCCAGGACCGAGCCCATCTCCCCGCGAAGGGAAGGAAACTAAGTACCTCCTGAAACCTGGAGTTGGAGGTGGCTGCGGACAATTCTCCGGGAAAATTTGGCCAAGAGTCACTGTATCCTTCTGCTTTCTTTCTTTTCAAATTTTATTCATTTTTGATTTTTATTAGTGAAAAACCATGAGGGTAGAGTTGTAGACTTGCAAATTTTTGTGCTTGGGTTTCAGTTATACAATGATCGGGTACCCATCACTCCACCAGTGCCCAATCTCCACCACCAATGATCCCAGTATCCCTCTCATCCTCCCAACCCCCCCATCCCACCCTGCCTCTGTGGCAGGGCACTCCCTTTTGCTCTCTCTCTCCTTTTGGGTGCCGTGGTTTGCAAAAGAGACGTTGAGTGGCAATCATGTTCGGTCTAGAGTCTACTTCTGCTTTCTTTCCTGTGTGCCAAATATCGCTCTAGGCGGGAGGAGCGATGGGGATCCCGGTCTGCTCCTCTTAGCGCGCTCTGTCCAGGGTAGCAGCTGTCCTCCCGTTGTTCTTTGATTTGCTGTAGCGGGCCCAGTAGCGTCTCCGTTTTGAGAATTGTTACTGTGTTTGGCATCTGTCCAGAGTACACAGATAAATAGTCATGACAGCACGATGTTCATCATGGAGATGCACACGAAGCTTAATCCAGCACTTAGTGACCCCTTTAGGCAGAGACCTCGGTTCATCTTTTTTTTTTTTTTTGTGATGGCTGGAGCAGATCCAGGTTTTGCACACACTGTGAATTGTGCTCTCCCGCTGAGCTGCATGCCCCCCCCCCCCCCCATACTCACCTTTCACAAAGGAGGAAACCTCGGCCTAGCGGGAAAGCTGAACAAGTGGGAAATTGAGGCAGAGAGGTGTTAAGTGCTACGCCCAATGTTACACACCTCTTCCAACACAGTACTAGAACCAATTTGAGCTACATCTCTGATTTATTAAGCACTCAGTTTATTAAAGAAGTAACAGGAACGGGGCCAAAATGATAGTACAGCTGTAGGGCACTTCTTGCATATACCAGCCCAAGTTGGATCCTAGGCATCTCATGATGTCCTGGTGATCCCCTGAGCACCACCAGGAGTAATTCCTGAGTCCAGAGCCAGGAAAAACTCCTGAGCATCACGGCATGTGGCCACAAAACAAAACAAAAAGCATCAGGGAAACTTTCTGTCTCTATACTGATTTTTTAAAAAAAATTAGAAGAGATACAGAATGAATTTGGGGGTGGACAAGATATTCTGAGAAACAGATGAAAGGACATATTCTTGGAAAAGTTTCACCAGTCTGAGAGATGCCGTTTTATAATAAAAGGAAAGAAGGAATTCCCCTTGTTTAAACCATCATAGTTCATCTAGCAGTGATTCTCGTAAGAAAAGCCTAAGAGGAAGGTCAGGGACAAGACAAGGATGCCCACTCTCACCACTTCTGTTCAGTATAGTACTGGAAGTACTTGCAATAGCAGTTAGGCAAGAAAAAGATATTAAGGCATCCAGATAGGAAAGGAAGAAATCAAGCTCTCACTATTCGCAGATGATATGATACTTTATCTAGAGAATCCTAAATCCTCTACCAAGAAACTCCTAGAAACAATAGTAAAGTTGCAGGCTATAAAATTAATGCCCAAAAATCCATGGCCTTCCTATACACAAATAATGAGACAGAGGAAAGAGACATGAAAAAAGCAATCTCGTTCACAATCGTGCCCCAGAAAATCAAGTACCTTGGAATCAGCCTAACTCAGGAGGTAAAAGACCTCTACAAAGAAAACTACAAAACACTACTCCACGAAATAAAAGAGGACCTGAGGAAATAGAAACATATCCCCTGCTCATGGGTAGGAAGAATTAACATTGTCAAAATGGCAATGCTCCCCAAGGCGCTATACAGGTTTAATGTGATCCCTATAAGGATACCCATGAAATTTTTCAAAGAAATGGATCAAGCACTCCTAAAATTCATTTGGAACAACAAATATTCACGAATAGCTAAAGCACTTCTTGGGAAAAAGACATTGGGAAGCATTACCTTCCCCAACCTCAAACTCTACTACAAGGCAGTAACAATTAAAACAGCATGGTACTGGAACAAAGGCACTGCTGCAGACCAATGGAACAGCGTGGAATATCTGTACACACAACCCCAAGTGTATGAACATCTAATCTTTGATAAGGGAGCAAGAAATGTGAAGTGGAGCAAGGAAAGCCTCTTTAACAAGTGGTGCTGGCATAACTGGACAACCACATGCAAAAAAATGGGCTTAGACCTCGACTTAACACCATGCACAAAAGTCAGATCAAAATGGATTAAAGACCTCAACATCAGACCAGACTCCATAAGGTACACTGAAGACAAGATCGGCAAAACCCTCCATGATATTGAGGCTAATGGTATCTTCAAAGATGACACTCCACTGACCAACCAAGTGGAAACAGAGATAAACAAATGGGACTATATTAAACTAAGAAGCTTTTGCACTGCAAAAGATACAGTGACCAAAATACAAAGACAATCTACAGAATGGGAAAGGATATTCACCCATTACCCATCCAATGAGGGGTTGATATCAAGGATCTATAAAGTACTGGTTGAACTCCACAAGAAGAAAACTTCCAACCCCATCAGAAAATGGGGTGATGAAATGAACAGAAACTTTGTCAAGAAGAAATTCAAATGACTAAAAGGCACATGAGAAAATGCTCTACATCACTAATCATCAGGGAGATGCAGATCAAAACAACAATGAGATATCATCTCACACCACAGAGACTGGTCCACATCCAAAAGAACAAAAGCAACCGGTGTTGGCGCGGATGTGGGGAGAAAGGAACTCTCCTACACTGCTGGTCGGAATGCCAACTGGTTCAGCCTTTTGGAAAACAGTATGGACGGTTCTCAAAAAATTAGAAATTGAGCTCCCATTTAACCCAGCAATACCACTCCTGGGAATATATCCCAGAGATGCAAAAAAGTATAGTCGAAATGACATTTGCACTTGTATGTTCATTGCTGCACTGTTCGCAGTAGCCCAAATCTGAAAAAAACCTGAGTGCCCGAGAACAGATGACTGGTTAAAGAAACTTTGGTACATCTACACAATGGAATACCATGCAGCTGTTAGCAATGATGAAGTAATGAAATTTGCAAACAAGTGGTTCTACATGGAAAGTATCATGCTAAGTGAAATGTCAGAAAAAGAGGTACAGACATAGAAAGACTGCACTCATCTGGGGAATATAAAGTAACAGAATGGGAAACGAACACCCAAGAATAATTGAGATAAGTACCAGGAGATCTGCTCCATGGCTTGGAAGCTGGCAGCACATGCTGTGGGAAAAGGCAGCTCAGATAGAGAAGGGAGCACTAAGTAAAGGGTGTTTGAAGGACTCGCTTGGGATGTGAGATGCGTGCTGAAAGTAGACTATAGACTGAACATGATGGTCACTAAATATTGCAATCCACAACTCCCGAAAGGAAAGAGAGAGCTAAAGGCAATGCCCTGCCACAGAGGTGGGGCGGGGTGGGGTGGTGGGGGGTGGGAGGGCTACTGGGTTCATTGGTGGTGGAGAATGGGCACTTGTGGAGGGATGGGTACTCGATCATTGTATAACTGAAACCCAAGCACGAAAGTTTATAAGTCTACAACTGTACCTCATGGTGTTTTACTGATTAAAAAAAAAGCCTAACAGGGAAATTTCTAAAAGCCAATACCTAGGGACATTCTCAAACAGTTTCATGAGCCTCTGGAAGAGTTTGATCACACACAAATCAACTTTGTGGTGATTATTTGGCCAGGTGGTTGAAATTGGCATTTAAAAAAAAACTTCTCAAAAAGTAGTAGAAGATGAACATTAAGAATTCCATAGCAATTGACTGGTGTTCTCTTCACAGCTCTTCTTGTGATCTTAATCACAACCTTTAGAATCAGAGAGAGAAAAAAGTGCTGTGTTCAGTTTACAACTGAGGTACAGTTACCAGAGTTCTCATAGATGGGGAGTTGTAGAACTGATTGAAACCAGGTCTTCTCTCTGCACCTTCCACTGCTCTGTGCTGTCTCTCAATTTAAAATAAAATAAAATAAAATAATCCTTTATTTTCCCGCCACAATCTAGAAAACCAGTTTTGGAGTTTTGGATTTGCAGGAATTGGATGTCATCAAAATCCTCTGTACATGTGGCTCTCAGACCTTACAAGTCCTTATCTCCCCACCTCTACCTCCACTGCTCTCCCAACGGTCTTTCCAGACTGTGCTCTTTCTGGACCTGTGTCTGACATCTCCCCTGATGTCATCAGACCCAAAGAACTCCCTCTTTTCCATCTTTATAGCATGTATTTTTGACATTGCATAGTTTCTTACATGGTATAATCCATCTTGTACCGACACTGAGGCAAGATAGAGGTGTTTTTTTTTTAAGTTTATCACCATCATTTCTTTTTTATTTTCTTCTTTTCTTTTATTTTTATAAAAGTACTTCACAATAGTTCACTACAGATAATATTCAACACCAATCCCGCCATGGGGCACCTTCCCACCCCAGTTAGAGGTAAGTGTGTGAGGCTTGTTGTATTTCATTCTGGAGCCATTTAAGCCCAAATATAAGAGAATACAAGCAAGTATGTTAGAAACCAAACACATGTGTGATACTTTTGATAAGTGAGGTAGAGTATAAGAGGTCGTGCGCATTCCATGAAATTCTGTTGCGCTCTCTTCAGGGAGCTTTGGTTTATAGTCTCTTTGGTTTGGTCTTGGCCATCGATGAGATTACATGGCGCCCCAAGCAGTTTGTGGGTGTGACTTCCAAGCTACTGGAAAACTGGGGGCCGGGGGGAGGAGGCCCAGTCTTGATCCTAGTGGACTTGGAGATCTCAGTCATGGGTTCCCGCATACCTGGGTTTTCATGCTGGTCTGCTCTCGAGTGAGGTTCATCCCATCTTGGGTACCACCTTCATTTCTAAGACCACACCTAGGTAGGTAAAGAATTAGATATGGGACATATGCATGATCTTATTATAGCAAATGTTTTGCCTGCTCTGATTATTAAAAATCAGAACAGTGAGGCTATTTGCAGCAAGATGAATTTTTCACATCACCTTTATTCTTAGGAAGAATGCTATCTTATCTTGTGAAAGCAGGAAAGCAAGAATGCATGAAACTCTTGCTCTTGGCTTATTGTAAGCAATGGTTATCTGACCTTGCTTCCCTCTGGGAGGTACTGGGAAGGGAGGTTGTTTCCTTTCCCGTTTTCTTGAAGATCCTAATGACAGAGAGCCTTCCTGTTCTACAGACACAACAATTTTAAACTCTCACTCGATTTCTATATATACTTGTTGAACATCATGGAAAACATGAATGTTCTCTGACCCCCAGCCCCCAACCCTAGACCTAACGATTTTTTGTATTCTCACTTGTCTTTGTGTGAGGTGGTCATTCTAGGATGCTCCATAGGTCATTCTTGTCTGTATTTATCTCTGAAAAATAACCTTAGGGGACATCTACTTGCACTTTTATGTGCAAAGCACCAGCAACAGTCTATTTATTTATTTGCTTTTTGGGTCACACCCAGAGATGCAAGGGGTTCCTCCTGGCTCTGCACTCAAAAATTAGTCCTGACGATGCTCAGGGGACCATATGGGATGCTGGAAATCGAACCCAGGTCGGCCCCGTGTAACACAAACACCCTAACCGCTGTACTCTCACTCCAGCCCCCTGAAACAGTCTGTTGCAAAAGAGCACTTCTAGGTGAGACTTATCTGGGATGAAAGATACCAGAAGTGTCAGGCTTCAGCCACTTCAGGCATTTGATTCCGTCATCTCTGACCACGAAGCATTTCCATTGCCTTAACCTGCACTGGGCTCTCTTTTCCTTTTTTCTTTTCTTTTCTTTTCTTTTCTTTTCTTTTCTTTTCTTTTCTTTTCTTTTCTTTCTTTTCTTTTCTCTTTTCTTCTTTTTCTTTTCTTCTGTTCTCTTTTCTGCTCTCCTCTCCTTTTCTTCTCTTTCCCATTATCCCTCCCCCCTCTCTCTCTCCCTTCCTTCCTTCCTTCCTTCCTTCCTTCCTTCCTTTCTTCCTTCCTTCCTTCTTGATGTATTTCTTTTGAGTATCCACCAAAATTGATTTCAGAATACACAATGTATTGTGACCCAAACTTTGAAAAATTTTATCTCATTCTGGAATCTCCTCCTCTAGAATCATAACTTGAAACAGGAAATTTTTTGTGGGGTATGTGTGCATGTGGGGGGTGTTATTTCACACTAAGCGATGCTCAGGGGTTACTCCTCCTGACTCTGCACTCAGGAATTACTTTTGGAAATGCTTGGGGAACCATATGGGATGGCCAGAGATCAAACTTGGGTCCTCAGTATACAAGGCAAGTACTATGCCTGCTGTATTATATCTCCAGCCTGGAAAGACCTTTGAGAAACCAACACTACTTGTACAGAATATCCTTAGAACCGCAGAAAATCCCAGAGCTTTGGAGGATTCTATTTTGAAAGCCATGTGGTCACTGAAGCAACGTGTATCTTGCCAATGGTTTTCCTTTATGGCCTAACTCAGAAGTTATTCTACCATACTCCCACGTTGCTCAGATTTTGAGTTCTTTCAACCTTGGGAAACTTTACAGCATCTCAGAAATCCCAGCTTCTTCCCAACAGGACAGCGCTGCGCGGCTATAAGAAGTGTCTGAAGATCCAATTTGCGCTAGAACGAGTAACCACCAGTGGTTCTTCACTCCAAATTTATCTGGCTCCAGGGCCCCATTCCCACCAGCCCAGCTCATGTCTCCATCCTCGGGGCTCTTGGCATCTGTCTCTCCCACCTGCTCCCACATCCTCAAGCCCCAGGCTGCTAGTCGCTGGCCCGCACACAGCGTCTGCTGGCATGGTAAAGTGGAGCCTAGGGGCCTGGAGGAGGAAGCTGGAGACTCCCACCTGCATCTCCAAGCAGAGGCAGCTCCAGAGCTTTCCCAGGCTTCCAGGTATTTGCTGGGCTCCCATCCAAACCCCAGCAGTCAAGGATGATGACTCTGAGGGCTCCAATCCCAACCACAGAGATTAGCTGAAGAAATTAGAATTATGGGGTCCTTTCCTCCTCCAACTGTCTAAGATGTTCGAATCTGCGCAGTTATGATCACTCTAGTAGGAGACGAAGGGGCCCTTCTCTTCAAACCTCTGAGCAAACCTTCTCTGTCCGCTAGGAAAGAGTGTTCTGTGGGTGAGCCTCCCAAGGAGACCCGTGGAGGGACTCATGGAGTGGAAGTAGACTCCAGGGAGCAGTTGAGTGTAGGAGGGGGTCTTTTTGCCATATGAGAGGCCAGTAGGGAAAAGTTGATTATTGCCAGAGAAAGTCCCCTTTCCCCAGAAGACACTATCCATGGATGACATGGTGAAATAGCTCCTTTTGTTCCTATCAATGCACAGAAGTCCCATAGTCCCATCCTGGACATGATTCTTTCTCTAAAGAACAGGAAGGCCATTCCATCAGTATCACAGGCATGCGTTGCACTGCCATCTCCTGGGATCCACCTGCAGAAGATGTGATTATTCTTACCAATTCTTCTTTGCCTCTGGTCTGGGACTCACAGATGCTCAGCTCCATCTACTTGTCTCCTTGTCCTGTGTCATTAAAGAAGTTGTCGTTGTTGAAAAGGGTGTCTGTGCTGTTATCCCCCACTTCCAGCAGGGCTTGCTGTAGACTAAATGGTGATGATGTGCTGTGTGGCTTTGCATCCTACACACCTTTGACATGTTCTAAGTATGTTTTTAAATTATAAAAGCTTATTGGTCAAAAAATTTGTCACTTCATATACAAATAGGGATTTAAAACTTCTAATGATCTAGCACATGTTTCAAGTCACATGAGACCGTTTATCACCATGACCCTCAATGAATGAAAATTTAGATTTCAAAGAATGTTCTTGATACTTCTGAAACTTCTGGGCAGGGGAGCTCCCAAGCAGTGCTCACGGCATCCCAGAGTCTTACCTGGAAACACTTGGCCAGATGAGCCAGGTGGCTCAATGCGTCAGTGCTGTGAAGTTGTGTTGCCCAGCATAGAAGTTATGGGGCCCAGCAAGATCACCCCAGAGGTGTTCAAGGGCCATGAGAGTTAGATCCATAGGCATGGACGGCAGGACCAGGGCCTGGTGCATGGAAGGCATGAACCCCTGATCGCTGATCTCCCTTCCCAGGCCTAAAACTTTTACTGACCTCCCTGACACCCCTTCACTTTCAACTGTCTAGTGTGCTTGACACATAATGGCCTGATATTAGGATCTATGTTGACTTGCATATGAAACATAATCAAAGCTAATTTTTTTTTATTTTTTTGCCCTATTCTACCATGCTTCAAGGGCTATTCCCATTTCAGTGCTTGGGAGTCTCTCCAGCAGTGCTTATAAAACCACATATTGCCAGGAATCAAACTTGGAGCTCCTGTGCCCAAAACATGAGCTACAGCCCATTGAACAATCTCTCTGATCCAAAATTTAATCATTTTAGATAAAAACTAATTTGGTGGGCCTGAATGATAGGACAGAGAGTAGAGCTCTTAACTTGCATGCAGTTGAAGTGAGTTCAATACTGGCACCCTCTATGGTTCCCTGAGTACCTCCAGTAGTTTTCCCTAAGCACAGAGTCATGAGTCAGTCTTGAGCAATGCTAGGTGTGACCCCAAAACAAAACAAAAATAAATAAAAACAAAAAATTAAGATACAAACTAATCAAAAAGGAAGCCACCGATAAACTAATCAAAAGGAAGCCTCCTCTGTCTTGGAGAACAGAAAAACACACCTAGGTGAACCATCCAAGTTTATAATTAGTGAGTAGCAAAACACTGACTAGATACCAATTCCTGCTTTGAAACCAAGATCTCATTTTTTCCACCACCCTGCCCCTCCTCTTCCCTCTGCTTCTAGGAAGAATTGAAGGTCTCATCTCAGAGAAGAGAGAAAGATTGATTCAGAGGAACCCCGTTCCTTTCTCTCTTTCTGAAATTCTTCCTCTAGTAGTTGTAGAATCTGTATTAGAAGAGTTTGGTGAGGACCTTACCTTTAATTAGACCTTACTGGATTTAAAACGTGCCTGGTGGTGATCCTGACACATTTCTAAAAGGTTCTGAGAGTTGACTGAGAGTTGTGGAGGGTGAGGATAAAAAATTTAGTGTGGTGGTAAAGCATGTTGGACCTTTGCCTGCTGAGTGTCTTTAAATAAACCACTTAATCTTCTGGACATTAGTTTTGTCAATGGTCAAATGGAGATAATTGAGATTAAGTGAAGCAATCTATGCAAGACTTTTAGCATTGTGCATGGCACACACTACACAATCCACAAATATTAGCTTAGTAGCTAGTGGGAATTCATTGCAGAGATGAACAAAGCCCTCTAAAATTGTTTATATCTTCTAGAGTCTTGGTTTTTATTTTTTATTTATTTTTAAATTTTTTTATTGAACCATTGTGAGATACAGTTACAAAGTTTTCATGTTTGAGATTCAGCCACACAATGATCGAACATCCACCCCTCCACCAGTGTAAACTTTCGACCACCAATCATTTATCCACTCTGCCCCCACCACCCCAGTCCTTACCCTGCCTCTATGGCAGACAATTGCTCAGACACACTCTCTCTATTTGGGGGCATTATATTTTGCTCACATTTCCCCATCACCATTCAAGCCTGCCTTCCAGGGGCAGACACTAGATCATTTATTTTCCATTGCTCATTTTGCATATCATGAGAGGTTGCGTGGTCGTAAGTGGCCAAGCACTTCCGAAATTCTAAGATTATAAATGGTAGGGTTCCACAGACATCTCTGTAAGGAACTATTCCATTTTGGGATTCAACTGGGACTTTCTGGGCCTGGGCTGCTGGTGCGCCAAGATGGTGCCCTGGGGCGGGTTGTGGGTGTGACATCTGGCATCAGAAGCAGATGGGAAGCTGGGGTGAGACTGCCCGGTTCCACTGCCGCCATGCAGTCTGCAGATTTAGTCGAGTCTTGGATTTTAGTTCTTCTTCCCACCCCTCCCATCACTTCCCTTCATTGTTGCCTCGATGACCAATCACACACACAC